GTCAATCCATGCACATACTTCCCACTTGAATGCAGATGGCCGGAGTGATTGGTTGTCGGTTGCTCTTCTGGATAGTTGATTGCATCTTTGGTCCAGCTCTGTCTTCTTTCCTTCGCTCAAAGATTCTCTGTATTGATAGATGTCGAGATTCGGAAAGAAGGTACAGCTTTGCTTAGCGATAGACACGGAAGGGGGAGCCTCGAAATGCAACCTGGGCGTCGTAACATCGAGAGGTTTTGGCACCAGAGGCATGACGCGCTCTCTTGCTCCTCTCCTTAAAAATAATTAAAAATAGATTAGTGTCCGTACTAGAATCTCAATGGTATGGAATGTCTCACATCGTATTAGCTAGAATTTGGAATTCCTTAAGGTAAATAGAATTTCGGGATTGTCAAAAGCGAGCAGAGGACTGCTTGTCGATTGAGCCAGCGGTGGTGGAGGTAGGTCGCTGCCTTATATAGCCAAGCAGCGTCTGCCTGTCCGCCACGAATGAATCATGATTAAGGCAAGTACTTAAAATGCCTAGAAAGTCTCGATGCTCGCCAAATCCTGCCGCTTGGGCGTAGGATGATCACGCGTCATATCTTCTACTTCGAATGGTCGGGATCTAGGCCAGAATCTCCCGATAATGGTATACAAGGTGCCGATAACGCCATCCGAGGGGCGGTACTTTGTATAAAATAGAACGTCCAAATATTTACACTTCACAAGTTTCGGCTGAGTCACTGCCTGGTTGCCTCTTGTGACTAAGGGTATCGCTGGCATCCCAAAAGGGCTGGAAGGTTGGCGGTATGACACTGTTTTTGGAACATGAGGTTACTGGATTTCAGGTGTGGCTATGTGCAGAGCCCTAGCTGCGATACCAAAGTCCCAAAGTAGGTCTTGCGGGCCGGCTTGAGGTCTCCCACAGGCTCAGCTGCTACAGAGCTGACCATAACAGGGAAGGACGGGACATACCAATCACAACTCGAGTGGTCGAAAATTGAATGGGAAAGCAATGCATCCTCTATGGAGATCTATCACTACTTTGGTGGTCCTTCTCTTTTTATCAAAGTGAAAAAATTCCTTCCTACCGACACCGACCAGACCAAGCTGTGGGGGAAGAGCGAAACAGGTTGGACGTGGATTGACACGCCGCCTCTTGGTTTGCTCGAGTGTCCCTCGGGGCGAGCTTTCCACCAATACGTCTCGGACTGCGTACCACATTGTGTGCAACGTACTGCCAATGCCGGCGTTTTGCAGGCAATAGCCACGCGTTGTGAAACCGACGATTCAGGGCTGTTAGCTAACGCTGCGAGGCTTTGGACGGCAACCCATCTGCTGCTACAGGGCTGGCAAGCAAATGGTATCCTTGTGATTACCGACCCATCAAGTCCCTACTATGGAATGCAGCCTGCCCCGAGAGTTATACAGAACGTGCTGGATCAGGGCCTGGAATCATATATCGCTGAGATTGAGCTTGAGCTTCTTGTGGGGATCAATAAGGCGATTAAGGACCGGACCTTAAAGAGTCGATGGGAGGAGACCTTTAGCGCAACATTCATTTTACTGGCGGTGATGGAGAAGGATATTTGGAGGCTGATGTACTGGATCCGCCATCCGGGCCAGGTAGGTACTTTCCTCTTGCACCAGGTTATGAAGAGACTGACCGAGTAAGGCTTACAAGTGGCGTCATCCCGACTCTGCTCGATACCTCATCGACCGTACTGCCTTCCAGGCAAATGTCCTACTCAGCCACATCAAAATTGCTGGATATGTCCCTGCTGCTTTTAGAGCGGCTCAGTTACACTGTAAGAACCAGAACCACCTTTGGACTGTACTAGTACTCACAAGCCCAGTACCGAGTGGTGACGCGAAGTCCCAATACCTTGAGAGCAACGACGATAGTCTTTGTGGGACTTTGACCAAGATTGTATTACTTGACGAGGACGAGGAGTACCAACAGGTGGCGGGCAAAGATTTCTCGTAGGTTTCAGTCGGTCTCATTTAGTAATGTTGTTTCAAGCTCGGAGAGCAGGACGCGAAAGTCATTATAATTTCGCAATTCAAGGATTTTATGATCCGATCCTCGTGGAATAAGGATCAAGACAGACAACTCTAATGTGAGGTCTTATTTTCCCCAGCAAAAGGCTTGCCGGTAAGTATCAGCGCTTGACTTGGTCGGACCTTCTCCCGAGTCCTCTTGCCTAGCTCAGAGCTTTGTGCTAAAACGCTAATTCGCACATTTTTTTGGGATACGTAACCCGTTTCTGGGCCTGCATGAAACCCTAATCCGTTCGCAATTACTCAGGCATATCATGTCCTTCACTACTCAACTGCATCGCTGCATGATACTCAACTGCATCGCTGCATGAAGGATGACCATACATGAAAGCACATGCGCTTTGCAACAACTGCTAATAAAATGAGGCACTTTACCGTGGAAGAGCGAGGATAGACCTTCGCGATCCTACTGCCGTGATCAATTTCAGGGTGTACGATACGCCAATCGGTATATTTTCGATGGAAATAATATACAATGCATGGAGCATTCGTACAAACATGAAATTTGATCAGTCAGCAGACTTGTTTTCCCAAACTGCCCAGCCAATCGTGAGGACAAGAGCCACACATTTGCAACAGAGAGAAGAGGAATTTCAACGTGTGAAAGTGAGGAAAGAGCATATCATTGTTCGCTATTGCCCGCTGTGTCCACTCCACTGGATAGTTCCAACCACTCTTGCTCATCAATGACACGGCCTTCCTTGCCGACGACAACTTGGTATAGTTCCTGATGCTCGCGAGGGTGGGCAACCTGACTTCTGTCAATGATGTCTTTTTGCAAGCCTTGAATTATGCCCTCTTTATTGCCGAGGTCAACACTCATGAGGAAGTGTCTTTTGATCATTTCATTGTATCGATCCTCGAGTTTCGTTATCTGCTCCTGTGCATTGTTTTGCTGATCTTTCCAATATTCTACAGCTCCCTGGACCTCACTCTCTCCTAATTTCAAAGCTTCGATCTGGGTTATCAAGTCTTGCATCTTGCTGTGTTGCTTCATGTGGTTTGCATCCAGGCGATTTAACTTTGCGATGATCGTGTCGAGTCTTTCCGAAACGTCCGAGCCTGGCAGCGCTTGATTGGAGATTAAACCGTCTTTAGATATCTTCGACTATAAAGAGTCAACTAGAGTCAGGTGCTTGGCGGTTGGAGGGAGTCACACGCTGTCAGTGTCCATACTGTTTCTCACTGGTGCCAGGTGCCATTCCCGGGAAGAAGTATCTCTGATGGTAGCAGAGAGGGTCTCTCCCACAGCTTGTCTGCAGGCAAGCACTTTCTTAATGCAGAAGCTATCAGAAACTCAATACGCTACGGCCGTGATACTGTGAGATTCAAGATTACAGTAGCGCTTGTAAATTCGTGTTCCGTCATTGCTGTGTCCCATGGAGTATCCTGAGCTAAAGATAATCGAGCTTCTGCGCTATTATACTGTAGCACTTTTGTCGGTCAATCTAGTTCCTTATCAGCTGCCACTGGAAGATCTCCTGGATCTTCTGACCTAACAGCCCCAGAATCCATTATTGATTGGCCATCGGAGAAAGACAAACAGTGGGTGAACTCTTCCTTCCATGCTCCATACTTCCAAAGTCC